CAGAAAATCAGTCAATCGGAATAGATCTGGAAGAGACCTTAGAGGTCATCTAGTCCAGCCCCTCTATCCAGCAGGAGATCCTGTACTATTTCAGACAAGTGGCTGTCCGGTCTCTTCTTAAAACCTCCACCAATGAAGTACCCACAACCTTTAAAGGCAAGTTGTTCCACTAGTTAATTGTCCTCACTGTCAGGAAGTTTCTCCTTAATTCCAGGTTGCTTCTCTCCTTGATTAGGTCCCATCCATTGTTTCTTGTGTTTCCTTTTGGTGCTTTGGAAAATAAGTTGACCCCCCCCCCTTCTTTGTGGCAGCCTCTCAAATACTGGAATACTGCTATCATGTAGAATAGAGCTGGAAGGGACCTTGAAAGTCTCCTAGTCCAGCTCCCTACTCAAGCAGGAGCCCTAATATACCAGGCATGTCAAAGTGATGGCCCACGGGCTGGATGCGTCACGCCGAAACCGCTCCCACCTCATTGCCAGCAGTGGGGAAAAAGTCACAACACATCACATGACATCACAAGTTGGACACCTGTGCTCTAGCCAAACCCAAATCTTGTAACCTTTCTTTATATGTTTTAGTCTCCAGGCCTTTAAGTATCTTAGTTTCTCTCCTTTTCGCTTTTTCCAAAGTCTTAGCAGGTGGGTGATTATAGATGCCCATTGAAATGGATGGGTAAGTTGGGGGGAGTTAATTTGCAAATGTGCTGGCAGATAAACAGGTGTATTGTTTTGCCAGTCAGCTGCAGGAAGGAAATGAGATCGATGCCAGCCCAGGGTTGGGGGTCTGTGTCTCCGGGCACCCTGGCCCAGGTAGAAGCTGTAACAGGAGCCCCCTCCAAAGGGGACATAGGAGGAAAAGGTGTGCCTGTGTAGCAGTTTTGGCATCAGATGCCAAGAGGCCAAAGGAGGTTAAAAAAACCATGTAATAAAGGGAGAGGCGTTGGAGGGGGTTTCCCCCTCTGCTGCAGTTTTGCAATGGGGTCCTTGGGAGAGAAGGGGCCAGAGAGGAGAAGCTGGGTTTGGGGAGGGAGGGTCTGGCGATGCAGCCAGGGGGGAGGGGGCTGACTGACCCAACCCTGTTTCCCGCCCCTGTGGTGTTTTTTGCACTACATAACACACATTTAAACCTGCTATATACAGCATATGTATAAACCTGCACCCTTACATATAAATAACATAAATATTAATCACTGTCCATCTTGAATACATAACGGAAAGAGGAAGCTTTACAGTTCACAAGGTTCATATTATATGGAACAAAACTGACTGAATCTGATGTTCTGCTTTGGACACCATGAAGCCCCCTCCTCCCAGAAGGTAACAAGGAAA